AAAAGCAACGAGTAACGTCAATTTAGTCTTTTGCCAGACCCATTTTTGAGTGGGATAATAGGTGAAAAGCTATAATAAGCTGTTTTCATTCTCAGCATTTTGGTGGAAAATAAGTTGTCAAAAGAGATTTTTTTTAAAGGCTAAAATAATTGCATGCTGTATGTGATTTGCTCTCTTGTTCAGCTTGAGTTCATTATTGATCCTCTAGTATTTCTTGTGATGCCTATTACCTGTAATGATCTAGTGTACAAATAGCCTTACATCTGTAATTTTGTCAAAACATCTCATTTATAAAATTGCCTCCTGAGATATCCATGACCTCACTTCATTAGATACATTGTTATGTCACCAGCCAACACAGCTGAGCAAAACGGAGTTTATTTTAATAAGTAGCAGCACTGTTCCAGTTCTACATGAAATCAAAGGCGAATGAAGAAATCAGTTTAAAAGGAATCAAAAGTTTCCCAAGACTATTTTATTCTGTTTCAAACATTCAAATTTCAAGCTCATGCTTTTGTAGGAAATTTTAATACAATGATTTTAGGCTGACTACAGAAGAGCACTTTGAAACTTGCAGTTTGTAAACACTGCTTGTGGAAGGTGTTGCAACAACTAATTAACTTTAGGTAGTTCCGTGCCCGAACTGCCCATTTATGTAGTCTGGGATGAAATTAGTAAAATTAGTTACACTTTATTTAGAATATAAGGAAAATAAGTAATTTATCCCAGTATGACTGTTTTGTCATATGTTCTAAATAAGGTATTGTTAATTTTGCTCTGCCACTTCAAAACAAAGGGGGATCTTGCAAAACTGTGCTAGTTACATAAAAATAAGTTATACTACAGAAGAACCATGGGGAAGCTCTGTGCAATGCCAAATATTCCACAGAAGAAAGATAGAGCCTTCAACACCTAGCAGTATTATGGCTTCTACTTGGAAAAACCTTGTGACTGAGTGGAATTTTTCCTTTTTGTGGAAAAATCCACAATAAATGTTAATGTAGCTGATGTGATGGATGACTTATACTTTCTTGTTTGTCACATCGAGTTGGTATGTGAAATCTGAAAAATTAAATAGGATCTGCTGGAAATCTAGTTTCATGTTTAAGGTCTCTTCTGCACAGGGGATTAAAGAAGAGTTCTTATTGCCTGTTCTGTTTCATTGGTCTGGGAGAATGATGGGCAGCAATCTGATCAGGAGAGCAAGTTTAGCTAACACCTCAGTTCTTGAAAATCCAGGCTGCTGTGCCTGCATGCTGTGATATATGTATAGTTATTCTTTCTAATAATTTATTATTATTATATATTAGTGGGAAGAGTTTCAGGTTTTATTATGATTTAAAATGGGTGGTGGTTGAGGACATATGAAAGGGAAGAGAGGGAAAAGGATGCTGTGGAAGGACAAAGGTTGAAGTCTCAGGGAGATGACATGCATTTAAATTATCCATCTTCCTTCTCCTAAAGCTTTTCACATGTAGTGAATATGTGTGAGAGTTGCTCTTACTGACAAAATAATGGTAAGATTCAATTTTTAAAATTTTTCTTTTCCCACATACACTGACCACTTCACAATTGTACCATGACCCTTCATATGAGGAGCAGAATAATTGGTGCCTTGGTAGCACACTAATGATATAAAATGTCATCTCTTTTCTGAGGACAACCAGATTATTCAGGTTCAGAATATTCTAGCTAAAATTCATTTATACTTCTTTACTTTTGTCTTTTAGAAAAACATTAAGTGCACAGCTGTATTTTCCTTCAGACTGATGTGATAGAGGCAGCTGCTTTACCGATTGTTTCAAAAGGCAGTTTGCTGAAAACAACTTTGTATCAGTTATATTTATTAATTGAAATTATTAAAAGAGTTCATAATATATTATGGCTGTGGATATTAGTATTTATCGGTATATGAAGTTAAAGATTCCAGACTAATCATGTTGTGATCGATTCATTACGTGTCTTGGCTGATCTGCTTTTTCTGACTTTCAGCAAGCAGAAGATGGACAGAGAGAGACAGAAATGGATGAAAAGAAAAAAAAAAAGGGGGGGGGGGGGGGAGAAGGGAAAAAAAGCAACATGAAACCACAAATTGTCATGGTATCACTGAACCAAAATTTGGGAAATAATTGTCAAATCTAGGGGTTTATTGCAACTTTCCTTCTAAAACTGTAGCCTCCTGCACCTCATTTCAATATCTGACACATTTGGAAGAGTTATGCAAAGGAAAGAAGCCCTTCATCAAGCTGTCTGTCTCACCTATCTCCCTATGAAACGCATAATCAGAGAGTACTTACATCAGCTTCATAGCCCTGGACATTAAAGTGACTTGTTTTTATCTCCTCATGCAATTGCTTGTTTTGCTTCTCAACCAGACAGTGCTGGGCACGCTCTGTCAAACACCAGGTTCTCACACTCTTATCTGACCCACTTCAGATTCATACAACCGTCTTTCAGAAATGATTTTCCATGCTACTGCACCATGTAATCCCTCAGAAAGCTCCTACTCTCCATTGCCTTTCCTTATCTTTAAGCAATCGGTGTTTGATAGCATTTTTGGAAAAAAAACTTCAGAAAATGTTGATACCAAAGTAATCTTTCTGGTTTGGAAACTCAGACTGGTGAATGAGGTTGATTGATTTTGAGATAAGTTGTGTCTCATTTTTGCGGAGATCAGAACGCAAGTGTGTGTAAATATGTCAGATCCTGTCTGACGGAGGTGCCCACTAAACATAGGACAAAAGTCCCTAAATACTGCAATGTGAAAGACTCTTGCAAAAAAGAGATGATGTTTGTTGTTTGCTTTTGCTGAGTTTACTGCTTTACAGTTTGGTTTTCTTTTAAAAAAAAAAAACAAAAATTGAGGTTTGTTTTTTGTTGTTTTTTTTTTTTTTTTTAAGCATCTGGTAAGTATTTTTAGAACACAAAAATATCCTGTGAATATATCCAGTGAAAACATCCTTCGGATACTGTGTGAAGCACTTTTTTCCACTAGAGATGGTAACTGCTTTAAGTTATTCTTTCAGCTTTTTGAAAATAGGACTCTCTTCAAAAATGCCATTTTTTTTTCAGTGAGCAGTAAGATCCCCCTTCTTATTGTCAAAAATTTTAGGTCTTCTCCAAACTATTGCATACTTAGTTTTCTGCTGTCACTTCATTAGGAACTGCTATTTTACTGAATCACGGGGTGATGTTTTAAATCTGTAGAGTTTTTGGAGTTGTAAAGGCCTATATTGTGAAAAATTAAATTATTAAAGAACTAAAATAATGCTCAAGTCCCTACCAAGTGGACACTGGCACTTTTTTTTCGTAAGCCAAGAATGATTGCATCGTGCTAAAACTTGGATTATCTGAACAACCCCACCAGGAGATTACATACATTTTAGTGAATATGTATATATATGACTTTAAGCAGAATCCTCTGTGCAATTTCAGTAGAATGGCTTGCAGTATTACAGGTTCTTCACAAGGAAATGGAGATGCTCTTTATAAAACAGTGGAGGGTATTGCTTCATGCTGAGGACAAGAGTGAATTGAGAATAAAAGAAATCAGAGTGATAATATTTTATTAACTGAGAAATACTCTACGTGGCCTGTGAGCATCCCAAAGTGCTGGAATTGCCTCTGTATCTTAATGAAGCTGTTTGCCACCTAAGCCAAAAGGACTATCCAGAATAACACCAGTTACAATGACAAATCAGAAGTGGCAGCTGTCATTTGATGAATGTCTCTGTCTCAGTAGCGCTCATGGGGAAAAGAAATAAAGAGAATCATAAAATCATAGAATCATTTAGGTTGGAAAAGACTTTCAGGTCACTAAGTCAAACTGTTAAACTAGCACTGACAAGTTCATCACTAAACCATGTCCCTAAGCACCACATATGCCTGTTTAGGTGAAAGCTGCTTAAAAAACATGATGAAGGATTTGGGGAGGGCCATTCAGATTTCATAACTGGTTTCTCCTTCTTGCGAGTCTTTTGTGGTTATGGACTTGCATCGTGTCTGTGGGAGTGTGTTTTAGGCAGGCAGGGTTACCAGAGAGGTTGAGATTTGTGTCTCTGCCCTTATATTTTCAATAGTCAGATAGTGATGCTGAGCTCAGAAAAACTGTGTCACACATTGGCAGTGAAGAGGGAGTGCAGGGAGCACTGATTTATCCACACTGATTTGCCCTCCCCTACAACCATCAGTCCTGTGAGGATGAACACTGGGCTGCCTGAGTAATCTTGAAGACCAGAGATAATGGTTTTAATCCTAGTGGTCAAGTGCGCAGCCAGAATTAAGTACTGTAGTTCCATTTAATTAATGACAAGTGTATTTTGCTCTATTTTAGGGAAGCTGTCAGTTTGCGGCTGTGGAGTGAAACACTATCTTGGTACCAAGCAGAGTTACAAGGTTTACCTCCTAGCTTAGATTCCTCCTGGAAATTTCACAGCTTCCAACCATGATAAAACACATTATACAGGATCTCCAAAGCAGTTTTATTATATTTATGATTATTAAAAAAGGTCTAGTTCTAATGGGAAACCTGAAGTTCCAAACTGGCAGTATGAACACAACTCCTGCCTACCACTTCCCCTTCAGAGAACAAGCAGTTGTTTTCCAGAGCATTAATATTCAGAGCAAGTCCAGTTCATCTTACCTGCTGGGTTCATTTTATTATATAATAAAATCTGATTTATTCTCATTTCTATTTAGAGTACACAGCCATATAAGCATAAGCTGTTTATAAACACTTACTTTCCAAGTAACATAATACAATACCTACTCTCTTAGGTATTTCTGAGGAATACCAAATGTTGCTCACCAAAGGGCAGAGATAAAAAGCAGTGCTTTGAATCTGAACATTGTGCCTGGAGCTAATCACTAGTTAGGCTGATACCTTCTCAGTTCTTCAGTCTGAAAAAATAAAATAAAATTAAAAAGGGGCCTAGTATGTTTTCTCAGTGAACTTCTCTGAGTCTGATAAACCTAACTCTCTCTTTATATTTTACTTACAGAATGGTCTTATCGTTGCCTGTTACCAAGGTTATGTGGATATTGTAATAGCCTTAGCACAATGCCCACACCTTGATGTGAACTGGCAAGACAATGAAGGAAACACGGCTCTCATTACAGCTGCACAGGCAGGTAAGGCTCTTTGTTTCACCTCTGTAACATGCAGGATCTTAGGAGAAATATGTGTTGTGGCTATTATTTTTACAATTTTTTCAAGGCACTGAAATAAATTAATCTGTGTGAAATAATCCTGGACAAGTCCACTCCTAAGTAAGTCTGCCATGATTTTCTTTGAAATAAATAGTCAAATAACAGTAATATTTATCCAATGAATTAAGACAGGAAAAGCCCTAAATTTCTAGTAGATACCATTAACTTAAAGAAAATCTTTTGTGTGTACTATAGTGCTTTGTTTCTTTAAGCTTATTTTCCTATGTTTGCTCTGGCAAGCAACCAGTCAACATTTTGGTCGTATAACATGCAGTTTTAGTGCTGATAGCATCTCTTTTCTCATGCTTGTGGCACCAGACTCAGCGGGTCTGCAGTAACAGAAATATCTTAGCTGTTAAGACATTCAATCACTCCATAAGTAAAAGCAAAAAGCCCTTAACCCCTGTTTACATAGATTTTACAATCTCACCAGGGTCTAGTGTTTGCCAGTGCTGCTTTTATAACAGACATGTTAATCCTGATGCAGACTGGAGTGAGAGCAGAGTTTATCTCCAAGTTTTATTTTGTCCCACCCAGCATGGTAATATTCAGTGAATAAGTGTAATAAAGCACATGAATGTAAGAGATGGTGCCCAAAGAGTTACTAGTGTACAGTTAAAAAGCCATCAGATGATTATTTTTGTTAAAACTGCAACACTGTGCTTTAACCTTTAAGTGAAGCTGTAGTTTTCCCCTACAAGTGTTAATAAAGTGCTAAAGAATGTAAGTGAAAAAAAATTTAACCAAGTAGACCATCACGTTGTAGTCTAAAGCTATTCCAAGGCTGCCTGTCTCTGCATCAGTGGTTTCCTTTTCATTCCTCAAGCATGCTCCTCAAAGGCAACTTTGCAAGGAAATGCATATCTGGTCTTTATCATGTCTTCTCACTATTGAAGAATATGAAATGTTCATGGGAGTTCATGGGACATGGTATGACCTCCCATATCCTGGTTGCCTGCAGGAAACAAATTTCCACCAAGCAGTGTCAATGAACATTAGAAGCCGTGTCTTAAGACTGAAGCAGTTTGGTTTTGATGCTAATTTAATAATATTGCCACTAGACACTTCCAAATAGTACCAAACTTTGCTTTTTGTTGCACCAAAAAGTGAAATCCACTAAAGAAGTCACTGACAGGTAGGTCTTGGATACTGGAAGAAAGAATTGCAGCCACAGTAAAGTCCCTAGCAAAGTCATGAGTATAGTAGTTTTCCGAAGAAAGTGGAGAAGTCTCCAAAACTAACCTACTTGTATTTATCTGCCATAATATAAACTTTGACTGTAAAAGGTTTAATACTGACTCCTTCCTGACCTTTATAACTCATGGTAATGAGCTCAGAATTAATCCAGAGAGCTGACATTGACTTGACACTCTCTGCCAGTACTTGCTATTGATCCCCAAAGCAACTGGAAGTGACTGCAGTCAGCAGAAGCTAATACAAACTCCTAGCAACTTGGATGTTTTCCCCTGCCTGTGATAATCCTGAGCTACAGTGTTGACACCAGTTATTTAACTCATTATCACAACATACTGCTGTAGTGTTAATAGAGATTACTGTGAGGTGAACGTTGCAACCAGAGGAGCTACAGTGCAATAGATGCTGCTTAATTATCGCTAAATGTTTAGTAGTATTATAAAGAACTGAAAGCAAATCTTATGTGAGCTTTCCTTTAGTGGAGGATTTGTTTGTTGCGGGTTTTTTTTTATACCAAAAGTATAGGATTTCCTATGGAAAGTCTAATAGCAAATCCACATTATTTCAGTTAATGGTAAAGTGATATCAGAAGGTTTCAGAAGGTGCTGCCACTGTTGATATGACCAGGTGTGACATCAGACCCTGAAGAGAAGCTGGATGGGAAAGAGGCTGCAGTCCTGAGGGATCATTCTTTGTGTTTCAGAGGCTGCATCTGTAACATGAGGTACAGATACTAAGGGAGTTGGAAGGGAGGCCTCTTTACTTTTGCTAGAGAAGTTTAAAATCCACACTTGCCTGAAACCTGGGTTGTTTCGTGACTGCCCAGACATGATGCTTAAATCTGAGCATTAGCTTGAGTTAAGTAGAATTATCTTAAAGACCAGACAGAGTCTCAGAAGAGAAGTGAATTCAATTCCTTATATTGATTTTGGTAATTTAAGATCTTTATCCTTCAAAGAAAGTATCTAAAGCTGACATTTTTTTGCATGGGCTGACCCATGCAGAGAATGATAGGCTGGAGTGATCAGTGAACAGCAGTGCTTTCACGACAAGTTTAATAGTGTAGAAAAGTAACCACAAAGTTCTCTGCTTAGTGTGTAAAATTCAGGTTTGAGAATTGGTCTGTTTACTTGCATTCTCAATGCTTCTTACAGAGGTGGGATCCCTTCTCAAAGAGTGCTTACCTTACAAAACTGTAAATTCATTGCAGCCTGCAGCAGGTGGTGCCCAAAAATGGTTGGTGATGCTGTTAAAAAAGCAGAAGCAAAATCATTAAATGTCAGTACAAGAACAATGCAGAAAAAAAATATGGGAGATTGATGTAAACAAGAGACTGAAATAACAAGTGGAAAGAAAGGGAGGAGAGTGGTTTCAAAAAAATGGAAAAGGAAGGAAAATCACATTATCTTGTTTTCCTCTCGGTTCTGCTGCTGCTGAGGACACAGCTACATAAGCAGCAGTGTCTGGGAACTGGCATGCATTGGCGTTTGGGGAGAGTTCTATTTATTTTCTCACATAGTATAGATGTTTTATGTTGCAGGGGCCAGTTTGAGGCAGTGCTGTGGAGGTAGCAACACAAAATCAGGATTTATCCCAGTTTCTATTTATTAGGGGAGACATGAGAACACAAACACCCATTCAAAGGATAAAACATTCTGGGTATCTTCAGTTCCACCCATCCAGGAAAAAACATTCACCACCCATAGACCAACCACAGGCTTTTTGCAGGTACAGTTTGAAATTGTAGATGTTATATGACAGAGCATCTTCCTTATTATACAGCTTATCCTTCTGCCTTCATTACATAGATTATTAGGTAATATTGCTGTTCATTATAGGCAGCAATTAAGTGAATTAAGCTATTACAGACCTCTGTGCTGATCTCTAAATATGGCTCACAGGCAAGGAAGTGCAGCCTTAGAATGCCAGTTCTGGTAGAAGATAGATCTGGCTTACTAACAGCAAAAGCCTGATACAAACTCAGTATCACCAAACTGGCTGAGTCCAGGCTAATTTGTTTTAGAACTGCATACAGCTTTCATAGCAGACTTTAAATCATAGAAGCCTCACCTGGCTTATGATTTAGATATGCGCTTCTAGTTTGCCGAGACATAGGAGAACTGAAGCAAACCTTATGGCCTTAAATCAAAAGTGTTTGACAGGGTTTGAGCAAAAACTTGGCAACTCTGAGCTCTGCTTTGAATTTGATATGTTTGAACTAGAAATTTGAAGCAAACCCCAGAGGACAGAAGCTCCTGCAGATTAAAACTGAAGTGGTTTTCAGGAATCCCTGAGACACAAAACTTCTGAGAATCACAAACCTCTTCATTTTCTTTGTTATTTCATTGCTGGTATTTTTTCTGTCTCATTTGAGGCCATCTGTAGCCCCCTGGGGAAGTTTGGCTGAGCAGGGTCTTTCAGAATTGACTCTTAGGATCATCCCAGATTTGCAAAACGTCTTTTACTGCAGCTAGGCTTTTGGCAAAGGGAAGAACATCTTTAGAAATATAACAACTGCTGAAAAATCTTTCATCTTGCTATTTCTCTGTGTTTCAGTTCCTGTCTCCAGTTTCTGTGATCAAAAAGCAGTATTTCAGCTGTTCCAAAATCTACATGAAGACACACACTGAAAATCATTGAAACAGAGCATGTCCTGTAAAACAATTTGGGCACAAAGATTCTCCTGGGAGTAATTGATACCTTGATAGGATTTGATCTTATACCGTAAAGACAGCTTGTGTATTGAGTAAGCAGGGTCACTTGATCCCACCCTGCACCCAGTTCACCTTTCCTTTGTTCAGCTTCTTGTAGTTTGCCTAATATTTATATTTCATTTGCATCAGACTGTGCAAGGTACAGAGAACTCCTTAGTGGGTTTTCTCTGATTCTGGCATTGCTGAGCTGATCTGCACTATCTCTACACCTGCTCAGGTTTCAGGACAGTTTCCAGTTATTGTGCAGCAAGGTAGCCAAGGCCAGGAAATTCCAGGAAATAAAGGAAAACGTCTTAAATTATTTGGTAAAGATTTTCTTAACTTGCTTTCCAAAGTGAATACAGGACTATGTTGGTACAAAGTGACTGCTGAGGAAATCTGCACCAGATGTGACACCATAGACTTAAAATTGTCCTGTATGAATTACAATCTGCATCAGTAACACTTCTATATGAATCTGAATGACATGCATCACAGGATATTCAGCTGGACTACAGAGTGAGATAAGAGAATATTTTCACAGCTCCTGGTAATTAAATTGTGATTGTTGCAGCTGCCTGACAGACTGCATTATTTCATAAAGCATCAAAGCATCATAAAATGAATGACAAGTGAAGAGAAAACTGGTTTGAATAAGTCATAATGGCACTAGATATTCTTCTTGTTCTGATAGTCCAATTATAAAGACTTGATGTTTTAATTGGTCTTCCAACCATTTAGCCAGAGATGTCTTCATCTACTAAGTACGTGCTTTGACACCAGTTACTCCGGTATACAAGGCACATGAATGGCACAAGTGTTGCTTTTAGAAACAGAATTTATTAGTACCAAACCTGAACATCAGCCCCATTTTATTGTTGTTGGAGAATAGACAAGTGGCTTTACACTGCCAGAAAAATAAAAATGTGGGGTTTCTGTATCTTATTATCTGCATTTTTTCAGTTATCAAACCCGCAGGAGTAATTTTTTGTTTAACCCTGAGACAGAACTTTAATTCTGTGGCACATTATCTCTGCTTTTTCTTTTCTTTAAAGGGCACATAACCATTACAAATTACTTGTTGAACTATTTTCCTGGGCTTGATATTGAGAAGAGGAATGTGTTTGGATTCACAGCACTGATGAAGTCTGCAATGCAGGGCCGAACTGAATGTGTGAAAGCCTTGATGTTGGCAGGTATGCAAAGTGCTTTGTTGCTTCTTCATCATCATCTAACTGTAAATGCTAGACAGTCACATGCAAACACCAAGAAGAAAATTGTCTGTTTGGGTATTTACTCTAAGAGGTACATTGCCACCTTCCCTGGAAATGTGTGCAACATAAAGTCAGAGAGAAGGTGGTGAAGCCACGTGCTGCAGGTGCAGGAGCACTCAGTTTCCCTATGGAAACCCATCCAGGAGTTCTCCAAGTGCTCTCAGGATGAGATTCATTGTCTCCAGGAGGGTTTGGGGAGTGTCATCATCAAGATTTGTAGACAAGGAGTTAATGAAGTTCATGACGCAGCTGGAGAGGACACACAGGTCTCTTGCTGCCAGTTCTCTGGGTGTGATAGTGCAAGACTGTGTGATGGTGGTGGATCCACAGCCAGACCTCTGCATCTCTGCCCAGCCATGGCAGGTCTGGGGCAGGGAGTGGAGAGCTTTGAGGGCTCTGGCTTCCATCAGTAGAGTTGGGTGTAGGGTTCACATCCCATAGGGGACATTGGTGGTAAATCTGGCAACATAAGGAACAACCCCTCTTTCTAACCCCTCTACAAATCTGAGTTTGGTCTCAGGTTTATGGGCAATAGGGCACCAGCAGGTCTGTATCTGCTGGATGGAGGGAGTCGAGGCACAGGCAGTGAGCAGCTCCATCTCTGCCCACCTGCCTCTCTTCTCAGCTGAGAATAGGAAATATGTTTCTTGCTGTGGGCTCTTGACTGCAGTTTAATTTCCAGCTGTATGCATTTGCTAGGTGAAAGGATCTTGGAAAGGCAAGAGGCACTGGGGAAAGAGCCTCTACAGGAGCATTCCCAGCATACAGCACCTTTTAGACACAATGTTGTATGTTTTTATTACATTAAATAATTGGTATATACATTATTAGCTAATAATTAAATGACTAGCATATATTAGTATACGTTCTTGTAATTCAGTTGCAGATATTTGACACAAATCAAATATTATGGAAATTAATGTGAATATTGTTACTGTCTAGACTGTGAATCCTACAGGTCCATTTCATTGAGAGAGACTTTGAATAAGTGGTTCATTTCAGTGATTTTGTTGTCACAGAAGTCTAACCCCCTCATAACATGAATATTTTAAGCTGCAGGCATTTATCAAGCATAGCGATATTACTATCATTCATTTTCATGACATCTAGTTTCTAGGTGTTGATATGACACAGGAAAAGTTTGGATGATGTGGTAAGCAGCATGTTATTTTCTGCAAGGTTCTGTAGCCTCTTTTACTAAAATCAAGGCTTTGGAATGGGATCATTCATTTTGGAATTAATTTTTTATGACACAAAATTATAAGATGGCTGTCAGAGCTAGAGTACTGCTAGACACAGATGCACTTTCTGGACTAACACATACTTCATGCAGATACTATTTCCAAATTTTCCAGTGCCCATTATAAATTATCACTGAAAATGAAACTTCAATCCCAAGGCCTTATGAGCTGTCAAATTGACCTTACAGTGTCATGGCTTTCTGTTATTATCACTGGAGATCTGATGGAAGCTTCTTCTTTCTGCTTTCATCACTAGAAGCTATTTCACAACCTTTCCATCTTTGTAGATAACTGAGTCCTTGTTATTCTACTTCTTGTACAAAAAGTATTGGTATCAAGGTTTGCTATGTGTTTTCTGCCTCTGGCACCAAATAGCCACCTTCTTGTTTTCATGATTCATAAAAAACCAGAATACTAGGGAGAACAAAACTTTAGCCAGACAGAAAATGGCTTTGTTAGCCTGCATATCTGTATATGTTTACCTGTAGAAAGATGTATTGGCCTGTTAGTGCATGAGAGGTAGTAAGGATACCAAAGATCATGCATTGGTTAAAGAGGTGTACCATTAATATACACTGGTTTTAAATCGTAGTTTATATACATGTTTTGGTGAGTATTTTGCAGGTCCTCACATTTTTAGCTCAAAATAGAGGCCACACAGGAAGCATGGTAAATTTCTTGCAACCATTTTAATATCTGATTATATTTTAGCATTGTACACTCTGGTGAAATGTAGGGAGGGAAGGAGCTGCTCATTCAGAACGGATTTAGAAGTGTTCAGGACTTCAGAGATACTGAGTGGCGGCTGATAATAAGTGCTAGTTTGCTGAAGAAGATGAAAGAAATTGTTATTAAAGACTTGCTGACCAAAAAATCAATTTCACAAGGAAACCAGCAAAATTCCATGTTAAAACATGCATGGAAATAATAGGAGGAAAACACCCATAATCAGCTGTGGGTCTACTTGCACAGAAAATGCGTTACAGCCAGTAGGGTTTTAAACCCAGTATTTGTTTAGGGACTTGGGTAAGACCTCTCTTGACAGGCCCCTACTTATGGCAATGCAGGAGGAAAGTAACTCACCTTCATAGCCCCCTAAGCATGAACTTAACACAGTCAGATGGGCAAGACGTAAGGGCAACGTGTGGCAGATGATTGGAGCTGGCTTGTCAAAGTGACTGCTCTTTCTGGTATTTGAGCTCCTGGAGGGTGGCCAAGGTCAATCATTACAAGATTAAGGCGCTCTGAGACACTTGGACATAATGCTGTTCTTTCAAAGTGAGTCTTTGGAACATCTGAATGTGCTATTCCTGAGTGCACAGCGAGTTAGGGGGGAACTCAGTCACTCACTGGCAGTTTGTCACAGGCTGCTGCACTGCCAGGACTGCGCTGATGACAGCATTCAGCAAGCGAGCCAGCCCAAGCAGGAACACAGAAATGCTGGTTGCAATTCATGTGTCAAGCCCTGCTGTAATCGCCAGTGTAAACTCAGTGCTACTTTAGTAAAGTCATCAGAGTGGCTGTGGATCTGGAGATTGGTCTTTAAATACCACATATAAAACAAGTCAGTAACAGATGCTTCAGCTCTTTCACTCCCTATCTTTAAACTCCGGATGTCAGTTTTGCATCAAGAGGGACATTAAACCTTCTTAATCAAATAGGATATCGGTATCCCAAAGGGGCACCTGTATTCAAACTAGTTGTGCTGAAAATGATCTTAATGCAACTTTCGTAGGAAAATCAAGGCAACTGGCAAAATGCAGTTTTTCTAAAAGAAAACCTGTAGGCTATACTTACAGGGAAATGACAGTTCAATGAGACTGCTATCACATTTTAAAAGGGACATGACTATTCATGTCTCCTCCAGATGGGGCAATCTGCTGAATGACAAGGCTGTTCAGAAATGTCTCCTGATCTGTACAGAGAATCAATACCGCAGTAGTACATCATGCCTTAGAAGTGGTTTTGTGGTATAAGGTACAAATTGAAAGATCGGAATTTCAATACTCTGTAGTACTGTTTCCTGAGATACAGTTTATGAAACACCTAGGGACACATCTGCCAGGGAGCAGCAGGATTGGGCTTCTTTTCAAATGGAGGTAAGCCAAGGGTGACAGCAAGGCACACAGAGGCACTAGCCTCATCAACAAAGGTGCTTCTTGAAGAAACAGAGCAGGGCTGGTGAAAATAGCCAGGATCAGCCAGTACTGCAGTGATTGACAGGCAAGTCCATAGAGTTAAGGTAAGTGTGAAGTCAAAACAAGAAATTAGGTCTGTGAGTGAGGCTCCAAATCAGCAAGGCACATGGCCAGGCACAGGCATAACTGTAACACTGCTCAAGCAAGGATCAGAGCTGAGTGTGTGAGCTTCAGTGCAGCCCCCAAGCAAAGACGAGGAGTCCCCAGTGGGCACTTTCCCTCACAGCTCTTTTTGCACGTCTCAAATCCAAGGTCATCTGCACCATATCAGAGCTGGCAGGTCTCTTTCTCAAAGGTAAAGGTAAGCAGCTGACTGTACCTCTTGCTTGTTTACAAGCAGAACATACTGTTCATTAAAATTTATATTTGGAGACAATTCCTTTATTTACTGTTGTCCCTGTGATAAATCCTTGCCTGTTGTGTGTATGACATGGAAAGAACTTCCACTTAATCTGCCATGTTCCTGGTCAGCTCTACTGGGAAGGAGTGAAGACCCAATCAAGTGTTAAGAAGCAACAGGACAAGAAACCAGCCTGAGATTGGAGAGATTAAGGGGCAAGAAATTTGGGTAGGATAGTTCAAAGCAGATTAGTGCAGCAGGAAGACATGTCTTTTTAAGTCTTTGCTCCTCCCCTCCTTCTGCAGCCAGGAACATTATCAAACTCTGCTGCCTTTGAGATCTCGCAATCCTTTCTTCAGTCCACAGCTAATAAAGCTTTAATTTGATTAACTCTTCCTCCTCTATCTTACTCTTCTTCGCCTCCTCTCTGCTTTCCAGTGTGGACCCCATCCTTGACTCCCTGCAGTGCCCCTGTGCTTTCTCTTTGAGTGGTCCTTGCTGAAAATTCCACTTAAATTACACTTGAACTGACATCAGGTCTTTTGCTTACAATCTCTCCATCCACATTTACTCTTGCTCTGTGTCTCTAGCGTCCTCTTTTTAGGTATTTTTGCAGAGACTTAGGAATCTTGTCCATTACCCACTCTTTAACATATGTGGAAACTTTCCTTATGTCTGATTACCCATGTCACCATCCTCTCAAGTTTCCCTAATTCTGGTGTCTCTCAGACATAAGAGAACCAGAATTGTACACCTGGTGTTTTCTCTATCCACCCCCCCCACCCCCACCCCCCCCCCGAGCCTTTTCTGTTTTCTTTTCCTCTATTTTTAATGCTCTTTTAGAAATTCCTTTGTTTTATTTGTTATTTTCTTTCCCCTAGTAAGCACTGAGTGGATATTTTCATGTATCTTGTCGTCATTAGCCCAAAATTTCTCTTCCGAGTAGCATCAACCAGTGCAAAACCCATTATTTTTTATGGGAAGGATTTCTGTGTACAGAATTGTTTCTTTCTGTATTCATCACTCTTTTCATGCAAGCTCAAGTGAATGGATTTTAAAATGGCAGGCAACATTCAATGCAGTTTCAATTCTTTATGTCATTCTTTGCATTAAGAGAATTTCATATACGTAGCCTTAATTTCACCTATTTTCTTATTTTTTATTTTTCTAGCAGATCAGGAGTTCAGGAAGTTAGGAACCGGGTATCTCCTTATGGCATGTCCATTTGACACAAATATGATTGAGTTTCATATGTGACGTTTTCTTGTATGGATCTCCCTGATTCCACTCTGATCATAGCAACAAAAGTGCTGGCAGTTTCATTAATTAACACTAATTGGTTTTCTTTTCTTTGAGGGGCAAATGTTCATGCGACTGACCCAAGCCGTGGACTGACTTCATGGGAATGGGCTTGTTACACAGGAAGATCAGAATCTGCCTTCATCATGCAAAAGCTGATGGACAGGCCATGCCCTGAACAGCTTTGTGATCAATATAAACCAGAATGGCCAAAGATGAAGGAACTTCTTGCCAAGGCTGCAGAGCCAAAAAGCTGTTTGCAGAGGTTTTCTGAGTGCATGAGGGCAGCTATCTCATTCCGGTCTTTCTATGGCCCAGAAGAAGACGGGGTCCTTGACCATATGGTGAAGGTGACAACAAGTTTGCGCAGTCCTTTCATTGCCCTGTCCTGCCGGACTGTGTGCCCAGGCAGCCCGCCTTCTGTGGGGAAACGCAGACTGGCTGTGCAAGAAATCCTTAGGCAGCAGAGAGCCGAGGAGATCCGATCTCAGGACAAAGATCACATTAGCAGCTACGAGAAGCTATTTCAGAACTCCAAAGTCACACTGATCCCCAAGAAGAAGGACCGGCGAGCCAGCCTGCAGCCCATCAGCCTTGCAGTATCTCAAGTGAACACCATAGCCACTAGGAAAGCAAGCCTCTTGCCACTCCACCTGCTCAGAAGGAGCAGCGTCAGGCCAGGATTTGTAATCCCCAAAGTCCGAGTCAGCAAGGCTCCTCCTCCCACCTTCCAGCCAGAAAATTCTAGAAGGAGGAGTAGTGCAAAGGATGACCCCTATCTGCAGATTCCCAAGTGGAGGTACAAGGAGCTAAAAGAGGAGCGGAAGAAGGCAGAGGAACAGGAAAAGAAGAAAGCAGCAGAGGCTCAAAAGCTGAAGCAGGTGTCTCCTGCCAGATGCAGGACCTGATTTAAAGGCAGCTTCTTAGAAGGTTTTTGAGCCATTAGTCTTGTTGTCTGAGCAAGATAACAGACCGAATGCCTTTGTGCATGCCCACTGCTCATGGAGATGGAATACTGAATAATGGCCTTTCAGGTGCAGAAACAGGGCAAGGGCTATGTTGTGGCGTGTCTGATGGTGGAGCAGGAAGGTGTTTTGAGGTGGAAGACTTACTAAGTTTGCCTGTCTGCTGTTGATAGGAAGTTGTCAGTGGGGCAGTCCTTTTGCAGCTTCCTTTTTTTTTCCAGTTCCAGGTGAATGACTGAGAAATGGCTTGAAAAACAACATGTGTGAAGGGATCATGTTTTGTGTTTGTTCATTTTGTAATGGGCAAAATTAAGGAGTTGTGTTTTTGACACTAGGCATTCCTCCCTCTCCTTCCTTAGGTAGATGTATTTCAAGGTTTTATAGTAATAATAAAAAGTTTAAAATATACCACAGTGTTGGTGGGCAGTGAAAATCCAGGTCTACAATCATTCTGGATATACTAAGCACTTTATTTTAATCCCAGTAATCAAAGTTTAAGACAGGATAGGTATTAAAATTTACAGCTCTATACAGTCTGTATGGATGCAGTTCTCAACGCTATTTTTTGTTCAGCTGAACATAAAAAGGGCCGCATATGGAATACTTCTGTAGCTGAGGTATTCACATCCTCTGCAGGTATAAATCAGGGCAGGAGTGATTTTTTTTGAGCAACAGAGAAGCTGAGCTAATGCCCCTGGATCACCTGAGATTTGCCACCCCCATTCATTTTCCTCGTAGCTGCCATTTGTTGTCTCCTCTTTAGTCTCAGGGAATTTTTTGTCATTGTGCTTAACTGTGAAACAAAGGGAGATGGGGAGACATAGGTGGGGATTTTTAGGTTGATATTAAAGTTCCTGTTAAAAAAAAAGCAGCCAGATTTATTGTGAGCCTTTCCTGATTACAGCCAGGACAGGAAAATTATGCAGCTTCTAGCAGTTCAAGCAATTTTCCCGGGTATAAAATCCACCCACATGCTACGAACATGCAGTCAGAGATGCAGCAGCTCGGCCACTAAATGTTAGGAAACTATGGCCAGATGTTGTGAGCTTTGGTAGCATGCTTCTGGGTGCCCGAGGAGGGCAGTACCTCACCTCTCTCCCTCAACAAAGGGAGAATACCTTCTCTAGTATAGGAGTGCGACTCGAAGTGGCGATTCTCACAGGTTGCTGCATGTTCTTCTGGTCCACACTAAGGCTCCATTTGCCTTTACCAGCAGTCAGTCTGGCATGGCAAACCCTGGCAAATTCTGCTAAGGAAGGGCTGCAAACCTGCTGCTTGCTGAAAAAAGACCACGCTTGTGAAAGCAGAGGTCACCTGCAAACAGCAAGTCATACATACAGCTCTTTCTCAGGCTTTCCTCCCATTTGAAATGACATGTGCTGCAGTGTGTCCTAACATCATTACTCTGCTGGAGCTCTGGCAGACCCCAGCTGCCACTGTCACCAGCTTCTCCATTCAATTAAAGACAGGGAAAACTTTCCCATCCTTTACTCCCACAGCACAAAGGCTGGCTGTGGTCTCACTGAAGCTGTAATGAAACTGTGTATGTCATGGGAGAAATAAATTCAGTTGACTGAAAACTAGTGCCCAGATTGATATTGCCAGCTAGCATCTGCACAGTCAGGGCTTGACAGAGGTTATGGCAGACATGTGAAACAAGGGTTTTCCACACAACCTGTACTTTTACTTTTTGCTGGAGTAGCTGTGCTGGCTGGACTGCATTGCCAGGGAGCCTCCAAGGTCAGAGCTGGAGGAATATTGACCCTGCTAATCAACCTCCCCAGTACTGTGAATATAAAAAGGATTTTAGTCTGCAAGTGCATCAGCGCAATTTGTAGGCACCAATTTTGTTATGGATTTGGTAACGAGAATATAAGCTAAACTTATGTCTTTGGAGAGCAGGGAGACAAGCTTTTAGCTGTCTGTGGCAAAGATACTGCGATGGATTCATAATGGATTTCAAATTTGTACACTGGATTGAATGGTTTTAACTATTAATTTTTTTTTACTGCCAACTCAGCATACAGAAGGTTCAGCATTCAGATTCAGTATCTGAAAAGCAACCTGTGCTGCAGGTGAACATTTGAATTTGCACTCTCAATATCACTTGCAGGAGACATACAATTGGTAGGTGCTCTCAGGGATTAACATACAGATATTAACATGTTAGAATTAGGGGCTGAAAACTAAGCCAGTTTTCTAGCCCTTTGTACTTTACTGTGTATATGTGTATAAATATGTGATATTTCCATTAAAAGAAGCACAAACTGTCAAACTTATTTGGCAATCTTATTCTTCAGGGTGGTTTGAACACGCTGTCTTTCACTTTTCAGTAGATCAAAAAGCCCACCCACTTTCCCCAATGGACTAATCAGTATCATCTGAAAGCAGTCTGGTTTCCCTGTAAGGAGCTATTGTGGGTTAACGTCCACTCCTTGTGAATTTTTCCCTAGGAGTAAAAGGAAACCTCTACATTTGTCCCAGCATCAACCTTTGATGGCCACCTTGGTCAAGAGAGAAGCTATCGCTCTGATGACATGCAGCCACGTTACTCTGCTGCAAGCAGGCATTCCCCTGGCATCCTTACAGACAGCATGGATCCATTCTGTGCATCTGTGTAAAGCTTTGCACTAGCTGGGTTGGGAAGTGCAGGCATAGGTCTCTCCTCATTGCCTTCATCCCCTGCTGCACCACTGCACCCCCCCCAGCTGTCTTACTCCTCCTCTTCATTACCATACTCACCAAAGTGCAGCGCCTCTCTCTTGCTCTTCTTATTATCTGTCTGAAGGATCTGAAGGTTGGGAAAAGCTCCCCCAAAGCATGCTTCCAGAAACCTGTGGCAAATGGACCATAGTAGTGGAAGCTGCACGCCTGGCTTGAGCTGCTGCCACCAAGGTGGATATGATTTCTAATGGATTCCAGCACAAACAGAATGGTTTGTGTTTTGTTGTTGTTGTTTTTCAAGAGACCTGTAACTATGAAATGCCAAGCAATACCCGCTGAACTTCACATTGCTCCTGGTCACACAAGCAGCTCATCAGTTTACCTCCTAAAACCAGTATGAAAACCCATGGCAGTACCTCCTGGGAGCTGGAGCCCCTGAAGGAAGGCAGAGATGCTGCTGTAGGAGGATGCTCCCACAGAGGGGAAGGGGACACTGATTCCTAGGGTGGAGAAAGGTTTTTTACAGGCCTTCAATGCCAGTCTGGCATGTTAGTGGGAACAATGCTTCTGAGCATTGTGAGTGAAGCTGGAGCAAGGGCTGTGTCTGCCTTCACTGCCATTGCTTGTCTCTGTACACTGTAAGCTTTGGCTTGACAGCCAGGTTCTCACCATCTAATGCTCACTCACTGGGGAGCAAACAGCCCAATGAGCTGGCTGACTTCTACAGTAAGCAAAAGCAATTTAATACAGTGACGGTATAAAGCGAAATGCCAAGCACTTCCCAATGTTCTTCAAAATCATATTGTGCTCTTGTCTCTGGAGAGCAAAGGTGTCACAAGGAAGAGATCACTAACCCTGCAGAAGGCTTTTCAGGCAGGAACACAGAATTACACATAATTGGATCCTTGTGCCGCTACGTATGATTCATTTGGGGTTTTTAATGCCAATGAAAACTGTTCCTTAAGCCTTGACAAAAATCCTCTCTGGGCCTCTCCACTGAATGCCTTTTTCTTAATAGTTCTGAATGCTCATGCTAATCTGCCATGGGACAGATACCAGAGCAGCCGGTAAAAAAACACCTTGGATAGAAAAATGTAACATTCTTTGAGGGTATTTCTTTTATAGACATCTACATTTCTGCAGGGAACACCCGAAGTATGACTGAAATTAGGACCTGATATGCAGGGTATGCCAATTTACAGGTGGTTTGTGCTGCTGAAGCCTCCTCTTTTGTTCTGTAATCCATATGATGCAGCCTGGTTTTGCTGGGTCTGCTCATTGTGCCTCAAACACTCCACAGTTTGGTTAGATACCCAGAGGTGGCAGGTAGTCCACAGGCTGGAAAGGGAAGCCATGTCCCTCTCTTCCTGCCCATGAGTTCCTGTGTGCTCCCAGAAAACCTGGCATTTTATGGATTAATATTCTGCCAATTTAATGAGCTAGACAAAAGTGCTGGAGCCAATGCAGGGAAGCAAGGAAGGGAAGGGGCAGGACCGTGTCACTCAGAGCCATCCATCTGCTGGGTGGCTCAGTCAGTGCTCCAGGCTGTGCCCAAAGCAGTGAGGAAGAGCTCCACTGCACAAGTTAGGCAGCTCCAGGAAAAGTCCAGCTGTGTGACACACACAGGTGACACCCTCTTACAGATATTTGTATCTCTTCTGAGCCCCGAGGAAAGGGGCTTGGACAGTTTTGCAGATGGTCAGGAAAACTGCAGCCCCTCTCTGCTCCTTTGAGCGCTCTTCAGAAAGATATAACAAGTACCAGCAAGAAAGCTGCTTAGCGACTTCAGCCATAAAGTAGGGCAGAATTGGAAGTTATCCTCACTTTTTCTTTCTTTTAAATTATCCCAGGTAGAATTATAAACCCATATGGACATTTGGTTCATTTAAAGAGCTTCTTCATAACTTCGATAATTACACACCCAGAGAGTGTATTCAGCAGAGAGAGCAGCTGAGATCTCCACCCGCCCTCTTCTCAAGGCAAATGGAAACTGGACTGACAGTTCATTAGAATCTCCATATAGTAAATTTTGCAACTAAATCTTTGAATTCCAAGTCACTGCCAACTGCTAAGCTAACATTATCACATATAACAATAACAGCGGGAAGGGATAAGCCCTGGAAGAGTGGACAAGAGGTAATGGAGGCAGGGGTGGGGGGGGTAGGAGTGGGAGGGAAGAAAATACATCTGTGTCTGTGGTATGTCTCTGATTTAAAACAATATTGGCTTTTTGACCCAATTTTTTCTGACTATTCTGTAGACAAGAGTGAAAAGCCTTGCTCTGGTCTGCTAAGGAATATATTATTTTAAAAGAAATATTATCTATATAATATATTATATATATATAATATATTATTTTAAAAGAAAGAGATTATTTTAAAAGAAAGGGATTCAATATGAGCCTCCTTCATATATATTTAGGAATTTATAAAATATATACATATAAAAAGCCTCTCACCTCCCAGTGATAACGTGAAACACTCAAATATGTTAATGATGACCATCGCTAAGAAAGCTAATATTAAATAATTGTTCTGTAAGAGGAACAAATCATTCAGGGTATAATATGGAGCCTACAAAGAGAAAACAGACCAGCTGCCTTTTCACTGAACACTGTGGAATGCTTACATGGAAAGAGGCAATGGATTCTGGGAAAAACTGTATTTTGCTGGGTAATTAAAGTTGTTATGCATATTAATTTTGCCTAGTCAGGTTTAAATTTGCCACTTCTCTCAGCATGTTTGAATTTACAATGTTTGTGGCATTCTTTTATGGCTATAAAACTGCGCAGAGGTTGGTGGATAATTAGTGGGCCAAATGCTGCTGTTTCAGTCCACTCTTGGGAAAACAGAAGAGGTTGGGAAAAAGGACTCAGGCTTTTTCCCCTTCTCATTATAGCAGCTTCCCACATGAATGATAGTCTGCTGCTTTGCCCAAGCCCTTCCTCCCAAACAAATAAAAAATAAACAGAAATCCTCAAGCAGCAGATGTGCAACATCCATGCTCAGAGGCATCATCCCGGATGCATTCGGTTGTTTCTCATAGGGCATTGATGGAACAGTGAGCTTTTGTAAATGTGGATCAAGAAAGGGGCACAGGAACTGCTCAAACATCTCTTGCTGTCTGTGTACCTGTGGTAATTTTACTTTCGGTGCCACAGTAACTGAAATCTGCTCAGGGCAGTGTTCATCACCAAAGGCGCTTTCTGAGTCTCTATAGGCAGCCTTCTGCTGACAAACATGATAAAATATTTACTCTCCTACAGCATTCAGCAACAGGAGCTAAGTTTTCCTCGTGCTTACTGCCATTATACTGAAG